TGCATCAACGCAAAGAAATCAGTTTAAATTATACTGTGAAAAAACTGCATATTAGCATAACAAAAACTTGAATCTGCATAGGTAGGAGGAGCGCTGCTCGTGGTCCAGCATATCTTAAAGACTCGTATTACCATAGTTACAGAATCACCTACAGGGAGCACGGAATAAATACTTGGCAATATACATACACATCTCGCTCCTGTATGTATACACACATATCTTGATTTTTTTATGCGTTTACACAAAATGAGAAAGGAAAAAACGTTTGGGAACGAAAAGAGGAATTTTTAACTATTCATAAAGTCGAATCTTTAGAAGCTATGTGCACAGATTTGTACCTAATACTGTGTACTTTTCGGAACGATTCAGAAAAAAATGACCCTATATAAACATTTAAATATGGCAATTACATCAAGATTTCTTTTTTTTCGGGAGGTCCATGAGGGACGCTAAAAAGTTAAATATCTTGTATCTTATAAAGAAATATAATAGCTTCGAGGCCTTCGGTAATTAAACAAGTCGGGATTGAAGAACCTTATTCGGAGTTGCTTAAAAATTTAGTAAGACTCACCCTGTTGCGATACTCTTAGTCCGTTTGACTTTGCAATCGCTTCAAACTCCAGTGGTTGTGAATGGCAAAGCACTCTTAAGTAAGTCTTCTATACCCTCATGGCACAGACCTGCCAAACGTTTCTTATTCGCTCTCCCACTTTCAGTACACTCTAAATCCTCTTATAAAACAGTCGTATGTTCTGTGAGTTATTCGCACCTCACCAAACCCTCCTATCTTTTACGTTGCGTGGCATTCCCATTCCGGGTGACATTCCCCCCCCCCCTCCCTCTCTCTCTCTCTCTCTCCCCTTCTCCAATATTCCCTCTTTGCTCTCTTTCTTTACCTCGCCTATCTTCTCCCTCCTCCAATCCCCCATTCCTCGCCCTCACTTTCCACTATCTCTCGCTTTCTTCTCCCTTTTCTCCCCCTCCTTCCTACCTCCGTCCTTCTCCCCAAACCCTTCGTTTCCCCTCCCTCATATCCCTGCCCTTTCCCATTCTCCCTTCCCCTCCCTCATACCCCTGCCCTTTCCCATTCTCCCTTCCCCTCCCTCATACCCATGCCCTTTCCCATTCTCCCTTCCCCTCCTCTTTTCTCTCTCCCCCCTCACTCCCACCTTCCCTTTCACAGTGGCCTCTGGTGGGTATGATTGAAACTCATTGGCTCCACAACTGGCACGGCACCCACAACCCCAACAACAACCGCCGCCGCTGCATCCTCTCGTTCACAAGCTCTTGCCGCGAACACTTATCTTAGGGGACCCTTTCATTCAGTCCTCTGGCGGGGGGGAGGGGTCGAGAGGGCGTTGGGGGGGAGAGGGAAAGGGAGAGGGATGTGGAGAGGCGAGGAGGGAGAGAGGGGAGGGAGAGGGGAAGAAGGAGAAAGGAGGAGGGAGGGAGAAAGGAGGAGGGAGGGAGACAGGGGAGGAGGGACAAGGGAGGAGGGAGAGAGGGGAGGGAGGGAGAGAGGGGAGGATAGGGAGCGGGGCAGAGGGAGGAGGGAGAGAAGGGGAGGACTGAGGAGGAAGCATAGGGAAAAGAGTAGAAGGGAGAGAAATGTTGAGGGGAGGAAATGAAAAGGGGGACCAGGATAGGAGTGATGGAGAAGAGAAGGGAAGCAGTGAGCATGGCGAGTACGGTAGGAGAGATGAGGAGGAGAAGGGAGGAGAAGGGGAAAAGAGATGAAAGAGGAGGTAGCGGAGGGAAGTAGAGAGGGGGAGAGGGGATAGGAGACCTTCCCAACACCCTGTACCACCGGCTAACCTCTTCACTTCAGGGATGAACGCCATACAAGTTTTTTTTCATTTTTTTTAATGATATTGTTCTTATGCACCCTGCAACACAAAGGGTATTGAATGCCCCTACTTATGGAAGGCATGTTGCAAATCTCTAATCCTAAAAAGGGTATGTAAGTTCTGGCGTTGAACTATCATAGTATCACTAGCAAGAGTATATCCCTTTTCACACTTTTTCCTGCAATACAATGCAACCTCCCGTGCAATTGTTTTTCCTTCATCGTATAAATTGTTCAACTTTTCCAACAAAGAATGCATTTATGTTTGTATGTGTTTGTGTGTGTGTGTGCTGCATGTGTGTGTGTTGTATGTGCGTGTGTGGGTTTGTTTGTATGTCTCTCGATTTCCACTCACAAAACATACAGAAGATCTTTTAAATGTTTTCCCCTGTATTATAAAAGAAAAATAAAAGTCATATCCGTGCCCTGTACGATCAACTATGAATAAAACAATAAAAAACTAAAAAGAACAAACAAGAAAACTAAAAAACAAGTAAAAAACAAAAATGAAACAAAACCAAAATAAAAAAACCATAAAACAAACAAAAAGTTGACATAAACACAAATGACTCCTAACATTAATCTGCATTACTGCGTATATCAAGGTACAGAATAGAAAATAAATAAATAAATAAATAAATAAAAATAGATTTCCACTTATTTTCATCTGAGTATATGGATGGGTATGAAAGTAGCACCTGGCACTTAATCAAGGTGGCACTTAAATGGCTTCTGGCAGTCTACGGGTTAAATTCCCACTGCTATCATTAATTACTGAATTGTTATCACATCTCTTGCTGATATCCATGATGAGGACTTTATACTGACGTTATGGC